GGAAGAACAATCGGATTAATATCATTGAGCATACAGGAGACTCCCTCTTCTCCGGACATCGGTTTAACCGGACTACACTTAGCGGAAATGACATCTCTTTAACCGGACAATTTTTATCAGCATATCGGACTAGATCGGCAGGAAGTGGCCGGTACTAAAATGACTGTTCTTGTGGGAAAGATTTGGGACCAGTGATCACGTTTCTAAATAAGATTCTCTCCTAAATTTAAGTCAAATACTGTATACAGTTTGCATTTAAACGTTCCGTGTTAAACAGTTTTTGGGGACGTCGGTTTACCCGGAAAACCGTTATCCGGACTGGCCTCGGTCCCGAGGAGTCTGGATAAGAGGGAGTCTACTGTAATTTACTACGAAATAAATTAATAACCAATTAGGGTCACCAGAATTAGGCTGAGTACCATTGACATTAGATACTCCAAATATTCATTCCATTTATGTGAACCAAATCTAGGCCTACCATTGAGTTTGGATACTGCAAGTATACATTCCATTGACGTGAACCAGACGGACCATTCACTTTGGATACTGCAAATAGGCACTCCATTTATGTGAATCAAATGAACCATTGACTTAGGATACTGCAAGTAAACAATTCGTTTACGCGAACCAGAGATGTATCATTGACTTTGAATACTGCAAATAGACATTCCATTTAAGTGAACAAGAAATAAGCCTACCATTGACTTTGGATACTTCAAGTAGATTTTTTAATTTATGTGAAGCAGGTGTACCATATTGCTTCAGGATCCTGCAAGTAGACAACTCATTTACGTGAACCAGTTCCATTAAGTTTGGATACTCTGTAAGTAAACAATTTGTTTGTGTGAACCATTGACTTTAGAACCTGTAAATAGACATTCCATTTAAGTGAACCAGGCGCACCATTGACTTTGGATACTGCAAGTAGACATTTAATTTATAAGAACCAGATGAAACATAGACTTTGGTTCCTGACAATTCATTTACGTGAACACCAGACTTATAATTGACTTTGGCTACTGCAAATAGACATTCCATTTAAGTGAACCAAATATACCATTGACATTGGATACGGCAAGTATATATCTCATTTACGAGAAACAGATGTAGCATTGACTTTAGAAGAGTATTGGACTAATATGCAGCTCCGCTCATTATTGCAAGCAGACAACTGCATTGTACACCTAGTAGTATTTAATTTTTAAACACTGTGAAATAAAATTGTTGCTCTCACAAACTATGACTTACTTTTTATGATGTAGGTAGGAGAGTGTTTTGATGTGGAAAATGTGCTTAAGAAAGTTCACAGAAGGTCGTATATACATTTGCAAAATGGTACCAGCAGCAGGTAGGTAATCATAAGTTTCCTCTGAGATAGTGATTAAATTTGAGTAAACGATTTCAATTAAATTATCAGCGTGTTATAAACTTCCAGGGTTTGTCATTGTCCTATATGGACGATTAGTTCAACAATCTCTCTCTTTAGTCACAACACAATCCACAGCTAAATTCCAATAACTCTGGTGAATATTTTAAACAAAACTGATTAACAGCCGCAGGCGGCCTACACCAATTAAAACATTGTGCAGATATTTCCTCCAAACTCCCTCTACATCTTGCACACATGTTCTACATTAAAACACCTAACTCTATTAAAATCCCTCATCTGACGATGGACTTGTATAGCTGTATAGCTTGTATGTCTGAGACCACAAAAGTCTAATCAGAGATTGTTGACTTATACTTGATGGGAACATGTTAGATTATTATGACGAGACTAATCGTCCCAAAGAGGAGGGACCGGCTAGGATAGTAGTGGATGAAGTAAGGAACACGGTGTTTGTCTCAAATTCAATATAGCTTGCTTGGTGTTACAGGAGCTTAATGGAGACCTTAATGTACGGACAACTCTGGTCGATTGTACCACACAAGTTCATAAACTAAACAAAAGATACTTACATATATTGAACACTGGAAAAAACATATACAGTAGAGTCCCGCAAACACGGCACTCGATAACCCGGCAGTCTGGATAACTCGGCCATCACCTGGCTCAGAAAATTAGTGATTTTTTGAGTCCGAGTTAAACATGGACTCAAGCCAGCTCAAGTCAAATCATTCTCAGCTCGTACAAATGATTTGTTTTACTATATCTGATGACTTAATACTAACTAGTAATATAAATATAAATTAAAGAAGTAGGTACCGTAGGTAGTTAATAAGATTAAAAATTGTATTGTTCTTGTTTTTAACCCTAGTTCCCGATAACCCAGCATTTCACAAACTTGGCACCCTTACAGTCCACATTACGCTGAGTTTGCGGGACTCTACTGTACAAACAAAACACATGTAGAATAGTTTTTAAAATTAAAAGGGTTGTAAAATAACAACTTTGAAAATAAAATTGGAAACTCAGGATCCATAATTTTCTGTATGGCAGCACAAAACTGAGTCTCAAACGATCCCTAGGAGAAAACATTTGTTGACTTATTAGTTAAATGTAATAACTGCAGTTAGACTAGTGGCTAGAAATTCTGTCTTTGAGCCTGATATAAAATCGCTCCAATCACCAATGTTAACTTTACATGTGATAATATTGTAACAATGAGATTCAGAGCCCCCATAAGATGATGTTGACTGATAAATACAGCTAAATGAAATACAAAGTAAAAACCAAGAAAAATACAAGTTAGCTATCACTAAGTAAACTTCATTCAATTACTAATCACATCAGCTACAATATTTATCACATAACTTATACATATTTTCACCTTACTTAATACAAGAAGGACGGAATGTTTAGATTAAGAATTATTTACATTAATTTTCTTTCACTGAATTGTGTTAAGAAAGGTTAAATGCAGAAAGAATCATAAAGTCACCAGGAGAGCATTCACAAAAGACTGATTGCAGAGGACAAGTTAACAAGATGCTAGTAAGCAATTCCTGTGTAATTTAATCAGTAACAAAATACAACTTGTTAAAATTGTAGATACTGATAAATAAAATTATAAAATAGGCCTACTGTAAATGATTACACAACCAACTCTTAAAAAAAATATAAAATAAAAACATTTATTTCAGGAAGAAACTTAACAATCAGGGTGTCCGTGTCCCATTAAAGTCAAATTTCAGGTTTTCTATGTTCAAAATTCAGAATTCCTCCAGCTCAAAACCTGTTGTCCAAATTGAAACATGTCCTAATAAAAAAAATCCTGAAGTTCTGTTCATTCAATTGTGGAATAGTATATTTAATTTCTAGGACCGAAGGTGGCAGTTTCCGGCACACGCTCAAGTTTTTGTGCGAGGCGAAGCCAAACACAGGAAAACCCAATTTCATGTGCTAGGCGAAGCCGAGAACGGAAATAATGGAGCAAGAGCCGGACTTTCGGTTTGAGTTATGAACAATACTTTTCATCACGACTCAAAATTACACAAACACAGAATAACAGACCTCAGTAGTCAGTAATATTACAACTATTTTAGTTCTCAATTGATTTTTTAAACATCATAATAAAATAATACCCCCGCCGCAGCAAACCTGCAGACTAAGCGAATTTCCATTTGCCTGATTGGATTTACACTAAAATGTCTCCTTAAAAATATCACATTTATTCCCTGCTATTTAAATCAAATCAGTTTAACACGTACTTAGGTTTGCTGCAACAGGGAGGGTTAAAGTGTTTTTTTATGTAAAATGTTAATAGTTAGTAAGAAATAAAAACATTTTCCAAATTTGGGCAAAATATGTTAATAAATAAGCAAACTACAACAGTTTACTTATCCTCCATAAGAATAACATGGGAATTTTAAATTTACAATTTTTTGGAATTTTCTCCGTAACTATCAGGCGCATTAAAACGCTTCAATATTCTAAATTATTTGTTTTTTTTTAAGCTCTACAAAATAGTTTGGAATGAAATTGCAAAAATTTAAGTTTTTTGGGTCAAAAATGGGAAAAACCCATTTTTACCCCGTAAAAGCCCCCATAAACCCCCGTTCCCATGGTCCGATCATGCTGGTTTGCGAACTCGTTCGAATAAACGTAGGTTTACAAGTTTGTACCAAATTTCATAAAAATCGGATCATTTTTGCTCGAGTTATCGCGCTAACGGACACATATATATATAAATGAATTTGAACGGATGGTATTTTTGGCCTCTAGGGACCTCAAAACGAAAAAAAAAAATCGGTCCCGGGTCCAGGTCTTACCATGAGTACTACGGTAATAACTTATTCCCTATATGGGAAATTCGCTAAAATCTTCTAAAAGGAAACCTACTTATATTTCTCAATAATTTGTTTTAAACATCAAAATAAAAGAAAATCTTCAAAAGGAAACCTACGTATCAATTAGGCATAACAAAAATTAGAAGTTTATGGTAATGTTTATTGTACAGTTTTCATTGTTGGAGACATTCACTCCTTCGTTTAAAAGTTTTTTCTGAACTTCTTGAATCGTTGAAACGTTTGTAGTGGTTGTGTTTGTTTCATCAACTTTCCTTACTTTTTTCAAGGAGGACATTCTTCATCTTCTGAGTTGGTAAAAACATGATCAATAAAAAAAATCTATTTGGCTGTCTGAAGGTATTTTGTCCAGAACATTTCTATTTGTATTCTCAGCAGCTGTAGAACTCATTGCATGTAAATTTTTAAAGTTTTCTTGATAGTTGTAATTTTCTTCCAATGAAATTTTCTATGTAACTCTGCAACATTAGAGGATTTCCAACCTCCGTGGGATTTAAGGGCAAGTAAATCCCCTTCTCCCTCGACTAGCATGGTGGCTAAGGTACTCCTGAAGGTGTGTCCAGTATAGCGCTCCGGTTCATCTAACTTAAGGTATTCTGCTACCTTTTTTGGGATTGAACTGTTTGTGTGACCACCCACATTTTGTCCCACACATTTACCCTTCCTGTAGCCAATTAAAAATCGGTTACTTTTCCTTTGTCTTGGGCACAATAACAAATATTTGCAAATCAAATCACATGGTAGTAGGCGTACCGACCCGGTAAATCCGGCACGTGACACCCCTAGGTAAATCAGCTGATCCCGTCAACTGATATAACCTTACTTGTATACGTACACAGCTGGTTTACCTAGGGGTGTCACGTGCCGGTTTTATCGGGTCGGTACGCCTACTCATGGTCTATATGGACAGTTGTCGTTGGTTATGGTAAAACTGTGTTTAATGTAATTTGTATTGTGTTTAATTACCAGCAATACAGGGTAAAATGTTTAAATATGTCTGTACCACACAAAACCATGTCTGCCTGTTCAATGGTTAAAAATTGGCACTTTTTAATACCTCTATACGATGAGATTCTCACAGTAATAACCAACCAAATAATTGTACCTACAACACAACTCGGATATTTAACTTTTTGTAAAGTTTTCTATCTCAATATGTTGTAGCAAAATTAGTAGTAAGCAGGATCTCAGTCTAGTTTAACTTTTCTTTCTCAATAAGTTAACTTAATGATACGGAATGGGCAATCACAGGACAAGCTCATACGGAGCCAATGTATCAATGCAGTGTCTAGGTTCTACACATTGGAGGGGTTAACTACGACATCTCATCCACTCCAACAACTACACTTGTGTCCTGTGATTGCCCATTTTCTGCGCCTCATGCTTCCATTCCCAGGAGTGGAAGGAACTTGAGATACCCTGGAACCCGTTGTCGACTAGATTGTACTCCTCAAGCTCAGGTGTTACAGCTCATCATGGGATATCCTAGCAGGGAAGCTCGTGTGGTTACGGACGTGCTCAGCTCCGAGAGACACGAGCCTCAGGAATTCATCCACATCGAATTTGTAGTTAGTGAACTTAGCATGAGCTCCACCATCCGGGTGGTGACCCTAAAGAGAAAAAAATAAATTTTATAAAAAGGGAAAGAAATATCTTAGGGTGTGGTTGGATAACAGCCAATTTTAATTTGTCCCAACGTTTACAGAAAATTGCTTAAATTTAATGGTTAAAAGGCTCTTAAGGGTAGTATTTACGGGCCAAGTCAACGTTAATGGAGATAACATACTACCTTAACACATCATTTGGCTAAATAAAGGCAGAAATGTCAAGTCTTAGTATTTGAGCAGGAAAATACAAACTTTCTATATGGTCGTACAGTTTTAAGCCACTTTAAAATATCCAAACAACATCAATTGTCATCATACCAAACTACCTTCAATGTTCCTGTGATGCTTAAAATACGACACCACTGAGACCAGAGCATTAAACCTTTTACCAAATATTTGTGGTTTTGCAGATATTCCATCATGAAGTAATAATACAGTACCACCCTACTACTCACCTCATCTTCTTGCCACAGTTTCTCCTTGTTCTCCCAGGTGATGTACTTGACTCCTCGTAACCTTGCTAGGTCTAAGTAACAACTCTCGTCCTCACAGTTATATCTGAAAATCACGTAACAGTCTTAACCATAACCGTAGTACCATATTTGTAAATAAGATGGTGGGAAAGGGAGCTGTTTCAAACTAAAATCAAGGTGTTCACAGAACTCCTAGAAGAAAATCACACATTTCCCTCGTTTTCCCAGCAGTTAAACCTGGTGTCCCGATAGGCAAGTGAACCTTATTACGAGGAGTCTGCATGTCTTTGATATTTGCGAATCAGATCAGGCTAACAGTTGGCTTGAGGGATTGGTACGAATGATTATGGGGCCAAGCTCGGGTGGAGTCTAGCCAAGCAGAGAGCATGTTTCCGAGACTGAGAAGATGTGTGATCAAAAATTGACAAAACTGTCACATTTATAGGAGACGATGATCTCGCCGTGACTGTGGAAGATGTTCCCTACTTTACCGTGACTGTGGTAGATGTTCAAGATTTTGCCGTTACATCAAGATGACCATGATTTTGCTATGACCGTGGAAGATGTTCTTGATTTTGCTGTGACTGCGGAATACGTTAACAATCGAACTCAGGCTAAAACCAGGCTATCCTGGTAACATTTTAAAATTCCTACTTAATCCCCGGTTTTTTCATGGTAATAAATAATTCACGCATAATTTCCGGTCGTTGGACACCCTGAATATGAAAGGAGGATTAGTGTGAAAAGTAGCAAGTTGTCTTGTGTAGCTTTGTCTGATCATAGTCATTTGTTTATAAGTCCTTTCAAACCAGTATAATTGATTTTTTTTACTAAAGATGAATACCATCTGGGTAAAAGTTTTAACCTGCAAAAAATACTGACTTTCTCAGAATTTGACCGATAAACTTCTATTTATCAGCATCAGCAACATAAGGGAATATAAAAATTATTAGACAATTGATTGTACCTAAAAAAATTATAGTATAGAAAATTATGACGAAAATTTCGGGTAGATAGAGAGAGAGACATAATTAGATTTTATAATCGGGGCTTATTGAAATAAAGTGTCATAGTCGTCTCAAAAGAAATTAGTCACACCTTAAAATTTTTCCAGATAGCCTAGCCTACGATGAAATAGTCCAGGATTCTAATGTGTTCGTTAATTAATTGTCGTTTCGAGTTTATTGGCTCAGAATAATTATTATTACAACAATGCTAACAATGATTAGCTTACCTTTAACTAGTACTTATCATAGCCACTCGGAAAATATGTGAAGCTAAATTTAGAAATTTGAATAAACTATCGTGAACGCGGATGTAATGTAATTAATTGAGAAACTTAAATAAAGCGTGAATCGTTCGTTGTACTTGTATAACACCAAAGTAAACGTGTCGGGAAAAATTAACTCGGTCGAACACCAGAGTCGATACAGCGTTTTTTAAATTAAATTAACGAAAGCCTGCTCGGGTACTTGAATTAATTCTTTGTATACTGTTCTGGCAGCTTAAATGAATTCCGAAGCTGGTCGGAGTAAATGGATGTGTGCTCCTGCTAGAAAAAGTGTGCAGGACAAGCGTGACGCGTGGTTACGCACAAAAAAATAAAAATAACAATACTTCTTCAAAAATTTGATTAAACAAAATAAAATTGGTAGCACACTAAGCCTAACACCTTAGGACTCCACCAGCAAGCGGGGGAAATCTTTAACTCACCAAAATAATCAAAATCTAGACTGCTGGGTTTTTTATCCAAACAGCAAGCGTATTGACGGTTCGGTAGCAGGTGGACAACTGATCTTGAGCTCTGGTCCTCTGGCCCCTCTTTGCCACTGCCCCTGGCGGCAGGGTAGCTAATTAGCATCCTCCCCTCTACGATGACGTCGAACCCCTCTTGTCCTGCTCCTTTAATGACGTTGCCAACGGGGGCGCGGTTTACCCCGAACTTAGAATGTTATAATTTTAAATAAAACTTAAAAAAATGGATTTTTACCCCTCGACGGGTTTTTGGTCGATACAAATTAGTATGGAAAACAATGGAGTTCAACTAACTAACCCTAGAAAAATAGAGTAGGCGGGTTAACATGAATAAAAGATCACTAAACATAAAACTGATGTATTGTCCTACTGTTAATAATATAGGGAGAAGATAAAATCCATAGCCCCTTTATTCAAACTTTTCCAAGTAAGCTAGGCTACCTGAATTCTATTACTTAACACGTTGACTGCGCGCGCTGACTTTACAGGCGCTCCCCAGTGGCGGGCGAAGCCCCGGCGCGCAACCGAATCAGCGAACGCAATTGGCATTCAAATATTTCAGTCTGACGAATCACAAAAGAGCAGTGGTGACTGTGCTGCGTTACCCCGAGAGTGGATGTAGTTCACCGAAACACCCAAAGGTAGCAGCACTGCATGGATCCGTATCCAGTGTCTTTGTAATGTGGGTTGAAGAGAAAAAATCCCCGAAACCGGGACAAAAGCATTGCCAGACAGGATTTTACGGGAAATTTTAGTACCAACCTACACCAAAGTAAAGCTCGCATTCTAAGCTGGCAGGCTGGCAACGATTATAACGTCTCCGTCTGAGGCTAAGCTCACACTGACTCAATATATTTCTGTTGGTCTGATGCCGACTTTAGTCGGCGCGCGCCACCTGGGAGCGCTGGCGACGCCGACTAAAGTCGGCACACGCAGTCAACGTGTAAAAAAAAATCCAACAAGCCACATGGCTTTCTTTTAAAATATTACATATAGTTATAGCTATTCATAACAGGTTTAACTTGGAACTAATGAATCAGTTTAAAATGGTTCTTGCAACAAAAACAATTTAGCCAGATTGCATTGTTGTTTCAACATCCAATATCCTTCAATAAAGTAGCCTACTTCATCTAAAGCTGGGTTTTCCTAGGCGCGGAGTCGGCGAGCGGAGAGAGGAACGCGGAGAGCGGACTCAGCTTGTCTTAGGTAATTTAATGTTACTGTTTTCCTAGCAGCGGAGTGGACCACCACGGGCCGAGCGGAGCTCGCTTCTCCGCGTTCGGTTTTCTAGTCGCGGGACGCGGAGAGAGGAACACGGAGAGCCGAATTAGTTTTTAATTGAATGGTAATGTATTTCTAGAGGCCAAGAGCAGAGAAGTCCGCTGACCGCTGGCGGACTGGCCGGGTCTCTGTACATTAATTTATCAAAGTACCTATCGACCACACTTTGCTCGAGTTGAGGAGAGCAGTAGTAGTCTTTGGTCAATGACGTTCATCCAAATATTCTAATCAGAGAATTTCCAATATAGGAAATATGCTATTGCTGTTAGTAGGTCACATAGTAAAACCTAAACACGTCTCCGATTTACCTTTGTCTTTTTTTAAGACTCCAGAGACCAAAACACGTGTACAATCTGACACAGGGTGTTTGAGAAAAACGATTCAAATCAAAGGGATACAATTCCTCATACCAAAATAAAGAAATATGTCCATAAAATATGGCAGAAAATAAATATATATACCCAGGTATCCGCAGTTTTTTTTAAACAATATTTGTATCTTTGACATTATTTACCCAGCTTTACGCAATTTAATAGGACTACCATACTGCTCAGTAAAATAACAAATAATAAACAATACCAGTCCTATTTATTTTAAGAACAGAATATTATGGTCATGGTTCAATATTTACAGCTTGTCATAACCTGTAAAACACATTTTAAAAGTGTTGACGATGCTCAGATAATCCACAAAACATTTCTATTGCCTTTTTTTGAAAGAAGCCCTTAACCTATGTCTACTTCAAAAATAAAAATAAAATATGTAGTTCATTGAAGGGAATATTTATTGGTTACTCTACAGCAAAGCTAAGAATCTCCACTAGACATTCCTTTGGGTATTAAAATTCCAACCTCGAAGTCTTTGGTTTCCTCTGTTTGTTCAACATCCCGCACTTGATTTCCCTCATCGAGTTGGCCTTGACCAGTCAGTCCTTCATAAAGGTTTTCCCATGGTATAGTTTGCTGCTAGCCTATCTGGTTTGCTGCTAGCCTATCTTGGTCTGATGCTGCTAGACCATCTGGTTTGCTGCTAGCCTATCTGGTTTGTAGCGAGCCTATCTGGTTTGATGCTAGCCTATCTGGTTTGATGCTAGCCTATCTGGTTTGCTGCTGCTAGACCATCTGGTTTGATGCTAGCCTATCTGGTTTGATGCTAGCCTATCTGGTTTGCTGCTGCTAGACCATCTGGTTTGCTGCTAGCCTATCTGGTTTGATGCTAGACTATCTGATTTGCTGCTAGCCCATCTGGTTTGTTGGTAGCCTATCTGCTAGCCCATCTGGTTTGTTGGTAGCCTATCTGCTAGCCTATCTTGTTTGCCGCTAGCTATCCTTTTTGTTTCAACTCCTAGATGGTGTTTCAGAATTTACCCCCATCTTTTAGAGCTTGTGATGGGTTCAAGGTCGTATCCTAGGCCTGGCTTTGGATGTTTGCAGCCTCCTTATGTTTTTCATTTGTGTTTGTCCTTATTATTCTTTGCTCTGTGGTTTGTCCCCGTCTAGCACCTTCTTTACTTCCTACCAGGAGCCCCACCCCCAAGATGGTGGAGGTGCAGGAGTAGGGAAACTGTCGGAAGGTAGTGGTTCAAGTACTCGCGGAACCAACACTCCGACACCTCCAAAAGGTGGCGGAGGCGGCCCCCCGAATACTTTCCTCACTACCCATCCTTCAGTGATCCCTACGCCCACACCTACCACCACCTTACGAACGCGACTCATGGTATACTAATTGACAAAAAAAGAAGACTTACTAAGATAATTGTTGGTGCTGTTGATTGTTTGAGAGTTTTCAATGAAGTGATTTAATGTTTCTATGGAAACATTTATAAAAGCAACATACAAATACATTGCATTTAAAACCACTTTAAAATTTTAACAAGTCTAAAGTTAAGTGTTGGTGATGTTAAGCATTATACATGTTTTCTCTGATAAGGGTAAAAAATATTCATTAATAAAATTTAATTTATGTTTCAAATCTTGAATAAAATTTGCAAATATAACTTTGAAGTTCAATTTGAAATACAATTTTTAATTGTGTTGCAACACATGTTACAAAAGGAAATGGTAAGGGATTAGATGTTTATCTCCATGAATGCAGTCATGTATCTCACAATGGTACATGTAGAGGGAGTAGAATTCCAAACAATCTATTTTTTCATTGCGATTCACTAGCAGTGATTTTCAATTATTTGTAATTACAGTATATGAAAAAAAAAAATGATGTTTTAGAAAACTTCTCATAAAGTGAATAATTCATTACCGTAGGTCTCGTGGTAAGACCAGGGTCCGGGACCGATTTTATGATTCTGATAAAATTTAATCCATATGTGTAAAGTTACATTTATTCTTCGCAAACCAGCATGATCAGACTATGGGAATGGGAATTTATGGAGTAAAAATTGGTTATAGGCCCTACCCATTTTTGACCCCTGAAACATAACGTTTGCCTATTTCTTTCCAAAAAATTTTGTAGAGCTTAAAAAAACAATAATTTAATATACTAGTGCAAATGTTGCTCGAATTCGAAAAATTGCAAAGTGTTTCAGGCGTTATTTCAAAACGAATATCAATCATAATTTCCGATGACTTAAAAGAGTCAACTCAAAGATAATGTGTAATCAATCACTCCACTACAGTTATCGAAATTGAAAATGAACTCACTCTGAAAACGAACGCTCTTGTGTGTATCATGTGTTTCCTATGAACAGATGTAATTAATACAAATTATTTGTTTAAGTAAACATAATCTTTTCTTCATAAGAAATACATTGGTATTTTGATGGCCTGTGGGGCAAAGCCCGAGGACTTTTATTACATGAATTGGTGAAAGGGGGCGTCTACACACAAAAAAAGAACATAATTTTGACACATGACACATCGTTTGTAAAAATCCGTCCATTATTAACAAAGGAGTAGTGTTTCGTAGAAATCACCTTCACGTATATAAAGATGGAAGTCAAAAATATTTTCGGCCTCTAGAAAAACATTACAATTCAATTAAAAACTAATCCGGCTCTCCGTGTCCCTCTCTCCGCGCCCCGCGACTAGAAAACAGAACGCGGAGAAGGGAGTTCCGCTCGGCCCGTGGCGGTCCACTCCGCTGCTAGGAAAACAGTAACATTAAATTACCTAAGACAAGCTGAGTCCGCTCTCCGCGTTCCTCTCTCCGCGCCTAGGAAAACCCAGCTTAAAACTAAAGCACCTCTACTTACAACTCAAATACAACAGCCCAGTCAGGTAGGAACAACAGGTGTGTCAGTCCTGCACCATGGATGCCTACGAAGATATCACTATTGCGGGTCAACTCCAGCTGTTGTTGGAAGTCCATGTGTCTGTTGTAAACAACCTAGACATAACCGTAAAAATTAATCCCTAAATATAATATGTTTTGAAGAATGGTGGCAGAAGTGATAAAGGCTTTACATAACTCATAAAAACACTCCTGTGAAATGACGACAATCGGCTGCAAGGCTAGGGTATTTCAATATTTGTATGTATTGCAGGTTTACATCTGGTGTTTTAAGTCAAAGTCACACATGTTGTTGGACAATACAGGTGTATTCTCATCCTGCATTCAGAAACACTTACGGATCCTAGTCTAGGGCTCCCAAATACTGTTGGACCTTGGCATTGTACTTACCTTGGCATTAGGAACATCTGCACAAACACAAACATTAAGACTTACAATGTTAAATTAATAATTCTACTGCCACAATTTCCTGCAAATTTGAAGGTTTTATTATTCACTAATCACTACTACTACTAGTTATACTTTAGTACTGATTCTTTTTGATTCTTTATGGGTATTTCAAAATGTTGTATAAAAGACTAAGAAAAAAGCGTATTCCTTTAAAAGAGTATTTGCATGATATTAATTGATACACACCCGCTGTACTTGATAGTCAGGGTTGGCCTGTAGTGCTGACAACAGTTCCTGCTCATTCAGTATGTTCCTGTATGCAGACTCCCTGGACAGAAGAGTGATCTTCACAGCAGAGGAGGTCCTTGGATGTTCCGGGACTTGTAAACGATGCAGCACGTGACGGGAGAACGCGTGGAACAGTCCACTGCGCTCACAGCCCCAAATCTGTATACATGGGAAAAGATTTTGTTTACTGAAATTTTACACAATATGAGTAAAGCTCCGTAGCTGAGTGGTTTGAGTGCTTACCTAGTAGTCAGTAGGTTGCCAGTTCGATCATGAGTGAAGTCAAAATCTTATCAATGGTTCACAACTGTACCCAGCTGTCCTTGATCATTCACTTGGCTGAAGAACCAGCTGATCATAGTCAGTAAAAAAGCTGTCATCTCACTCAATCATCTTAGCCTTAAAATACACACCCTGGTGTGTTAAGTGTTGTACAAATCGAATCTCTTCTATTTATTTCAAGCAATAAAATGTTTACTCGCTATAATTGTGTATTTGAAATTCAACACTAAACATTCTCTGAAAAATCTGGTTTAAAAGAGAGCTATGGAGCATTTGTTTCAAAACCTTTATATGTTACCTTTATTATACCGTCGTGAACCATTTCAAAATAAACTAACACAACAAATTTCCATGCAACAATTTTTATACTTCTTATTTCATCAGTTAAAAAGTCTCAGTTGAATTCATAAATTCCTGAGTTCATAAGCCTAAATAATCAAAATAATAGAATAGGAGTTGTATTTCTCAGTAGGATTTAGTTCTCTGGCACCTCTACTTTTATGGGCCAATTCCCCCCAGAGAAAAACAGAAATTTAAAATTAAATTTTCTCTGTAAGAGTTCAAACAGATATTAGTGATGTCAAACAAGTAGGTTTTGAACGATTTTAAAGATTATTCTGGCTTTTAGACTGCAAAAGCATGTTTTAAAGTGTTTTTAATTAACTTGTTGTTAGTGAATGAGGGCCCTTTCCTTTGAACACAGAAACAAGATACTGGTTTGACACTACAGAAGAAAATTTCTTTGCGTGCTCCTTTCAACTGTTATAAATCAAGCATTTCTTACACATCACTCACTACAACTTACCAGTGGCGTGTTGTAGTAAAGACCAAAAATCATTCTGGGAAGTAACGGGAAAATCAGATTGCGAAAGCAAACCCTTTTCCCCGTGAATGTTTTCAAATCCCATATAGGGTGCCTAGTGAAGGCCTTCCACACTGGGTTGAAGTTTGACATGTAGGTGAACGATTCCCAGATGAGGACGTGTACATCGGTGGAGAACGTTGTCCAGTCATGTAGCTTCACGTGTTGAGATGCGTAAAGGTTGAAGAAGTCACAGAAGTGATGGTACATGTTGACTGCTGCAACAACCGTTTCAGCAGTTAAAACTGTATTATTATTAATCGATCTAGTAGAATATACGGTATATATAAAAGTTGGGTTTAGAATCTAAGATCATAAAGTTCATGACTCTAGAAGGAGGAACACTAACTAGATAGAGATTTAGTCTCAAATTTTTTAATACAGCGGGACTTGGATAACTTCCCCAAGAGACCCGTGACAAATTGAAACCCACCGTGAAACCCACAGGAGGATTTGGGATTGAAGACTTTGATAAATGTAAAGACATTAACATAAACACCGATGCAAATCTCTAAATTTACAGATCATCATGTCAAATATTGAAGTAAATCTACTTTATTGGAAGTAATGCTGTTACTGTCTTGTTATTCAGTTATAACATAACCTAAAAAACCCAACCTAACCTTACCTCGTATTTATAAACTACTTCAAGGGCCAACAAAATAATTATTAGTCCAAGTAAATCAAAGTTAATGGACATTGAGGTGCTGCTGTAAAAGTGAAGTTGCTATTATGGGCGGATTTGTGAAGTGTTTTCAGATCCCATTGACATCACAAGTTTCTTATTGTGTGTCAATCCCAAAGTCTCCTGTGTGTGTTTACCCAGATTGTGATTAGATGAGTTCTCCAAAATGTAATCAACTGAGTGACTCACTAGCATCGATCTTCATGAAGTAGGTCGGCTTGTCAATGACGACATCACACTCCTCCGTATCTATTGGTCGATGAGGCAGCTCAGTGAAGTACCTCAGTTCCGGTCCCCACGACTGTAGCGGACTGATGTGGTCACACTCCTCTGTTAACCGCTCCCTGTGCAACCTGCAAAAACATTGCGTTGTTGACCATTGGCTCAATATCACAGTAAATTAAACAAAACAAAGCTTTAGTGTTGTCCCAGTGTGCTTTTTTGATTGGGATTTGAAAGTTACAATGTTGCTACATTGTTACTAAGATGAAACAGAAGCTATTTTAGCCTTATTTATTGGTTGTATGTCCAAGTTTGTTCTTGAGTCCAGGACTCTGAACAAGAGTGGATTCAGATTGTGGTTTGAAAGTCCAAATGTGGTCTATTAGATTCTACTATCCTCTGAACAATTAGTTTGATAGGCTAGAACGTTATAAACTAGTGTGGTAAATGAATAAATCTACAAACATTTATGTTTAACATAGAGACTGAAGGCTGATTGAGGAAACAACTAAAAGTAACTAAAGACGATTTTAAAACAGTAGTCTTAGGCCTACAATGAAACATAGGCTAAAGTTTTAATGCCCTTGTAGGTGCAGGCTAAAGCAAACTAACAATTTCCTATCAATTGAGAGTGACTAAGCTTATTGAAGAACGTAAAGTTAAAGCGTACCAACCATCATTGGTCCACTGCAAAACAATAACCAAGAAGATTATGTGTCCAAATGTCAAGGCAGATATTAAATAATCAAATCAAGAGCTAAAGGGTTTTATAACAAATAAACTATTTGATTATGACAACTTTGTTAAGTTTTGTAATTAAAATCACTTCCTTTCACTTCTATAAACCTTGAATTTTTAAACTCACAACTACATTAATTCAAAAAACAACATGATAGCTTACTTGCAGAAGCCTCCAATTTCACCTTCTTTAAGTACGTCCATTTTATATCTGATAGGCTCTTTTCTGTTGATTAAATCTCTGAAATCAACCATTATATTTCTTCCCTGACAGTAACGCAGATGTTTAGAACACATCAGGGAGGAATCACTCTGGAAAGCAGAAAAAAATTTAACATAAGGATGTGTTAAAAATACAAAGGACTTGTCTAGTTAGAACCAGAAAGAAAACACATTGCGGAGCACCATAAAAAACAGGCAGTTTTTTTTTCTTCAGAATAGCTTAAATACTACAAAAATAGCAAGGTACTGTGGATTAAGTTTATGCCAGTTTTTTAAACCAATTTGTCAAGATTATCAAGGTCTGCTGCTCAGGGCCGTATTTAGAATCTATGAGGCCCCAAAAGGCCCTCACCAGAGAGGCCCCTCTCTATATACTGATTCTTCAAAGGTTTAAACTAATGGGTTTTGAAATCCACGTGGTATTGCTTCAACTTGATGAATTGACCTTTTGTTTACAACAATCCAATTGGTAGAAATACCTAGGAGACTACCTGTAGCTAATAGGGTCGCCGGAATTCTACCCCCGGATATTTACCCCCATGAAAAAACGCCTACGTCATTTTGACGTCACGAGGGGCGGGGCCTATACACGGTCGAGAAACAGCCCGCGACTGGAAATCTACCCCCGGACATCTACCCCCAGACATCTACCCCCGGACATCTACCCCCGGAAATCTACCCCCATGGTCAGCTACGCTACGTATCGGCCAAGATGCATTGTTGTAATTGATTTCATTAATTGGTTTATGTAAGTCAACAGCTCTTCGGCTATTCATTAGCTTATTATGCAAATTTTTTTTTCTTGTAAAACGAAAACTCAAAAAATACTTTATTCTTCTTGGGCAATAATATACCCCAAGTCGTTGCCAACCACAACAGTCAACGCAAAAGGTGTGTCACCAAAACGATGATATCATCAAATATATTTTAAAGTAAATAATAAGAAAGCATATTCATAATAGCATATAAAAAAAAAACATATTGATTTCAGAATACCTAGTTTTTTAAAACTGCATAATCTTGTAGTTGTTTTAATTCCAATAACATAAGATAAATGTTATTTGTTCTAACCTTATTTAGCTACGTAAATCAAATATGTAAAATACTGTACCTATTCGATGTACATGTTAAACATGACAACGGCAAATCGTATGCTTTTTACTGGATATTAGAAGCTAATGAATAACCGAAGAGCCGTTTATTTACATAAACCAATTAATAAAATCAATTACAACAATGCATCTTGGCTGATACGTAGCGTAGCTGACCACAGGGGTAGATTTCCGGGGGTAGATTTCCGGGGGTAGATGTCCGGGGGTAGATGTCTGGGGGTAGATGTCCGGGGGTAGATGTCCGGGGGTAGATTTCCAGTCGCGGGCTGTTTCTCGATCGTGTATAGGCCCCGCCCCTCGTGACGTCAAAATGACGTAGGCGTTTTTTCATGGGGGTAAATATCCCGGGGTAGAAATCCGCTACCCCAGCTAATAAACAGGTCTATTAATTTTTTTTAATAATAATACTAGGGGTCTTAGGTCAGGGCCATAAATTTTTAATTTATTTAGGTTTGAGTCAACAATTTTGATCTTTGGGCATCGGATAAAAATCGGGTGGATTTGGAAATAATCAATTAAAAATATGTAAATTGATATAGGCCTACTATAAACGGTTTATACAAAATCTGTTATCACGGCCAAATTTTAGGTGTCTTCTGTGGTCACAGTAAAATCATAGACATCTGACGTGGTCACGGAAAGATCGTGAACATCTTCTATGTTCCCGATAAAACAGTGAACATCATGCGTTATTGCGGAGACATCATCTTAGTCTTCTGCAATCGGGATGGAATCATGAACAACTCATGTGGCCGCAGAGAAATAGTCTACATCTTGCGTGAGCGCAGAGACATAATCTCCGTCTCCTTCGATCAAGACAAAATTGTGAAGATTTTCCGAGTTTGCAGGGACATTAACGTCAACTCCCGCGGTCACGATAAAATCCTGGACATCTTCCACAATCGCGGATGAATAGTGAGAACACCTACCTTAACTGCAATATAGTGAAGATCTTTTCTGGTTGGACAGATTTCATCAACGTCTCCCACGTTCGCGGCTAAACAGATTATCGGTGAAACAAATGTATCAACAAAAAAATTTGGTGCCCCAAGTGAGGCCCCCAGCCGCCATGTCTGCCATTAGTGAAATACAGCCCTGCTGCTGCTTTAGACTGAATATTGCTCTCTTTTGCTCGTGCAGAAATAACACATTTCAATTTGGTTCAAAAGCCATCTACTTGGCATAACAAATACAATATCCTTTTGGCTCTCAAAGATTACTACAGTAAGTAGAAAGATGCAGTTGCAAGTATGTTCAACCTGCGATCCCAGGCTAAAATATTATTTAGGATATTTATATAATCTGGTCATTGATTTGACTGGGAGATGTGGCGTCGTCCTGTAATCCAGCTACTAGGAGGTCACGAATTGTGGATATTTATAGGCATGCACTGTGGATGCGATACTCCCTGGTGTGGATTAATGTCCGCACGGGTGAGTACTACAACTATCCGCAGTACTATCCTGATAATTAGACAAATTTGTATATACCAAGGCCAAAATGTGGTTCTGATTCCACTATAAACTGTAGGTCCCTTAGTTGCCATTAGCTGTATGGGCTATTAATTAACAGCTGTGTCTATGGAATGTCGGCCTTAGTCACTAACAAGACTACAACATCGCGCCACTCATGCTACACTCATCCCCATTCATACTTGGCTTAAAATACCTACTTTGTATGGTCGCCATTTCATAAGAAAGTATAAAGTATAAGATAAACTCTACCGTAAGGTATCATATAAAATATGTTTTTATATAGCCTACACAAATTAAGTTGCTTACAAGGAAATTTGGCTCACATATCACCATCAGTTCTTTCTGCTGTTCAGCGATGTAACCGAAGTCTCCTTGAGTGTAAAACGTCTGTATCTGGTCTTTCTTGCTTGGGACCCATCCTTTGTGATCCCCTGGACACGAGGGGACTGAATAAGTGTCATTTTGTGGACAAACACCTTCATATCCCCAACAGCCGGGTCTCCCCACATATTCCTGCAGGATTTACACTCTTTTAATAGGTGAAATAAGACTAAGACTGTAAAAAGCTATTTTATCTTTAACCAAATTTATCCAGTGGAAATGAGGTACAACCACCTGTGAGTATAACAACTTCTACACAAAATTGGTTTCAGCATTTTACATACATACATTAAATAAAAACTAATCCATCCTCAGACCAAGATTTGCTACTTCCTTTAAATTTATACTATTTCTGTAGAGTTATACAACAGCCTAGTCCTAGTCTACAAATTTGGTTTTCCAATCCTAAAATTTAGGCTATTACAAAAAAAAAATGGTTAAGAAATTGCCTCAACAACTAATTTTTACAAAACCTTAATAATTAAGTACCCCCGCCGCAGCAAACCTGCAGACTAAGCGAATTTCTACTTGTCCGATTGAGAGGCATTTATTCCAAATTTAAATAACATTAACACGAGTGCTTAGGTTTGCTGCTACAGGGAAGGTAAACAATGTTTTTTGACCAAACGTCAATAGTATAGGATGAAATAAATTAATTTGCTAGCTTTTATCAACATTATATCCATAAACAAGTAAACTACGACAGTTTTAATTTTCTCCATAAAAATAACATGGAAATTTTAAATTTACACTTTTTTTTAATTTTCTCCATAACTGGGAGGCTTACAACAGCGAATTAATATACTAAATTATTTACTTTTTAAAGCTCTACAAAATGGTTTAGAAATTGCAAAATGTTATGTTTTTGTTGAAAAAAAACCCCATAAACTCTGTTCCCATAGTCCAATCATGCTGGTTCACGAACTCGTTTGAATAAATGTAGGTTTACATGTTTATACCGAATTTCACCAAAATCAGATAATTTTTGCTCAAGTTATCATGCAAACGGACACATATATAAATATTTTTATAATATATATTAATTTGAACGGGTGGTGTTTTTGGCCTCTGGGGACCTCAAAACGAAAAAGTAAATCGGTCCTGGGTTCAGGTCTTACCATGAGACCTACGCTATTAGCTTATTCCTAAATGGGAAATTCGCTAAAAGAGGGATAAAGATTACAACATTTGGAAAACAAATTGTCAAAAATCTTACTAGTTGCAAGTTTACAAATCAATCCTGAGCAGTATTTTGTTTATTGTAAGTATGCCTAGGCCTATTACAAAAATTCTTAACACTGACAATTCAGGTGTAGTCTAAGCTTGTTTTTCAAACACTGTACATCGCAGTGTAACTACTTTCACTAGCAGAACAACCTGCTAACTGGGAGATAGTGTTCATGGGAATGTAATGAGATAGCTGCATAACATTCAACCAGTTAGACAACTATGATGTAAGTGCTGATCTGGATGCAAGCAATACCTGTGTCCGAGTGGCTATTGAATTGATGCTTACAGAGTATGAACAGCTGAAAAAATAATTTTGATTTTCTGAATACTATACATTATTAAGTTATTTTTGCTTCAATAAATGTTGTCTCACGTACCTACCAAGTTTAAACATAGTTAGATAACATGGTCAAAATACACACAATTTGATGAGAAAAAGTATTATTATGCTCAAAACTTTAATTAGGACAACTTGTATGCAGACCTAGATCACTATAATAAATGCGTTAAGTACTGTTACATTTTCAGGAGAAATATTTTGTAAAGAGCACACAATGAGTTTCCCTATTACTACTGTAACGGACTACAAAACTATAAGTGCCCTATGTGCTTTTTACTAGACACCAGATTTTCCTGATTAGAATATTGAATACATCTTTTTGTTTTAGGATGGAAACACACATGGTAATAATGGTTTCAGAACTAGCTTTAAAGCTAATTGAAGATAATTATTTTTGTTGATTAATTATTGACACATCATTAATATGTTTTTTCTTAAAAAATATCTACAAACGATAAACAGGAAGGTTGTTAACTAATCGTGTTTCATGTTTCTATTACTATAGCACAAAATTGTGTTTGACGGATTTTATAAAGCCTACTAGCATAATTATTACTCGGAAAGTCTTAAGTACTGGTACAGCAATGGTAAATTGCACAAGTGAAAATGGGAAGTATGAAAGAAACTGAGGCAGTGAGGTGTGAAACCACAGATTTGTTCCACAACTAGATAATAACACTTTCTCTTCAATGAGCTGTAACTTACCATTGACTGTACCCCAGAACTGGTTGCCGGTCACTAGTACATTTCTTGTAGGCCTATTCTATGTTTATTAATAAAAAAATCAACACGAAGGGTCAAAATCTTTAAAACTAGAGTCAAATTTTACTTACCTTCAAAGGACAATCATCCTTCATGCAAGCTTCACCCAATTCTTTGTACATGTTGAAAAAATATCGAAGATGATCGGGATCCAAATTTATCTCTGAGTAGTTATATGTTCCAGAACAATAATATAGCGAGATCAAAAATATAAAAAGTATGTAACTCTCCATTGCCTGAAAAAATTCTTAGTTTTATAACTTAAACATAGTTACACAATACAACAATTAATAGTGCATAATTTTTATTCAGACAACTCAATAAAATACTAAATTGAATGTGATGGTTGTCGTAAATGTTTTTTTACACCACACTACATTATTTTGACGAACTTCCCACGCAAGGATTTAGTCCAGAAAACAGCTGTTTGCCGCCAGCTTATTCAAATGGGGTTTTATTGCGTTCTACTGTACTGCAATGAGTTTTACCGGACACCAATCAGCTGATTATACTGTATTTAGGTGGCAGTGAGTGGTTATAAACAAAAACATAACTTCTCTTAGAGGTTATGACTAGTGATTTTGAGTCCTTTAGTTGGTGGAAATATATAGGGATCTGTACGGATTTAGTAGTATGGCGTAAACTATCGTACGTAACTCGTCCAAAATGTGTGTACCGGACTCGTATGGTAATCTCAACGACCACACTCGTCCGGTAAACACTTATTTTCAGGACTAGTAACGTAATATATTATTTTTTACGGTGTGCGCCGGTAATGACCGTTCATCATTCTTATGTAAGTCAGTGGCAAAATTTTGAGGAGTTTATCTAAATGGATTTCAATGTGACTGAACATGAGATGTTCACACTGATAGGGCAAGTCTCTAAAACTAGGCAAACACTGGTAGTCTCATCCTAACTTAATTACTGTCTCGAAGGAAACTGATCAACACACGCTGGCAGGTTCGTTGAGAAAACTTGACCTTCTGTGAACTCCCTCACAACCACTCTAGCACATTTTCTATATACACATCTGTATATTCTGAAGTAAAAATTATCTGCATAAGCCTGACTACATGTTAATGGACGACGGATTTCAATTGCAGTCAATTCCCATCCCAAAGAAAACATAATCGTAGAAAATAAAATATGTTAGAGAAATGGATGGACATAAAACACTTAAACTCAGTGACTTCAAAAATAAAACAAGACGGGGTAAGGTAAAAATCATCATGTCACAAGATGATGAGGTGTTCACTAAGCCTTAGCACAGAAAACATACTACTATAACCCAGAATGCCAAACGCATGGTAAAAAGCATTAAGTACATTGAGAGAGCTTTGCCTGTCAATTCGTAGGCAGCCCCACCAGCGTTGCTATGCTGAGTGCTTAAAGTAGGCCTACTTAACGCTTTTTACCATGTGGTTGGCATTCTGGGTTATAGTAGTATGTTTTCTGTGGCCTTAGTAAGGCAAGCAAGGGTAGTAGCCTATTTCATCCTTAAATACTTAAGGAAGAGATGTTTAGCCTACTTCATCCTTACTCATTGAGCCTTGCTAGCCATACAAACAACAAATTAACATAACCAAAAACCAGTGACAAATCAGCATACTTTATATATTGTTCAATCAAGATTTATCCCCTAAATTTGTGTTAGAGCTAAAAGAGGAAATCTCTAAATACTAAATTCAAATTTATCTAAAGGGTTGAAAAGTCATCCGTTGGAGCAGTGTTGCCAGATTCGCCGGCGAAAATTATCGTACAAGCAGTCCAAAATTATAGTTTTTGGGGCAAAATTATCGTACACACAATTTTCTTTTATAATAATATTATTATAATGTAAAACAAGCAAGTCGATGATGGAATGGCCGAAATTTTACTCTATTTGTCTCTGCCGCCCACCGTTTTTGCTCTACCAGCCTACCACTGAGCTAGAAAAATTAAAAATATAAATTCTACCGGAGGCAGCACACTATCACACACACACGCGGAATCTGCATCTCTGCTAGAAAAAAATTGAAACGCTGTAAAATGATTGTATTTTGGTTCTCAACTGGAAAAATCAACCAGCTCATTGCTTTATTTCATTCCCCTACTGCCAATGTACTGACTGAGTACAATAATTAATTGAAGGTACAACGTAATCTACCCCTAGTACAAATGGCGGCCAACTTCTCTCAAAATTCTCCTATAAACACTTAAGTTGGTAGCCATTGGGCCCTCTCTAACACAGCTGATGGCTTTGCAAGGTTGCCAGATCGAACAGCAACGAAGTGATGTTACCGTTTTTCCATATATTAAAAGTGGGAAACGTGTTTAAATGTATAATAATCAATATGAAATAGTTTATTTTCTAGCCCCCAAAAAATAATCGTACATTATGACAAAAAATCTTACACAACGTCAAAATTATCGTACAATTTTTCAAAATTATTTTTTATGGGGAAGGAGCAAAATAATTGTACAAATACGATAATTATCGTACACCTGGCAACACTGCGTTGGAGGCAATGTCCTTAAAAACTAGATAAAATTTAAAGACAAGGTTGTTTGAGGAATTTTCTAGTTTAAGTCGGGTTTCTTATATAACTTTAATAGGCTTAGTTTAATTTGATTTATCGGCGAAAAAATAACAGTTTACTGCCCATGTAAGACGGACCTCTAAGTTATTATGCTAGGTTTAGATAGTCGATTTTTTCCATATTAATCCATTGTATCGATTTTGGGATATTAATGACACAGATCATCAGCCTCCATTCTACACTCATCCTTGGGTTAAAATACGCACATAGGTGGCATCCCCATCTCCCCCCCCCCCATGATTGACAAATGAATTAGACTGATGTTATCATATGAATTTGATTCTATAATAGACAATAACTTAATACAAGTTCATATTTATAAATTCCTATTAAATTGTCTGGTTGAGGTAGGTTAGATCAGCATTATCTTTTACATCTTGCACCTAACTCATTTACTCTATAAATGAAAAAAATGAGGGCATTATTTGATATGACTCAGACTACCTATCGAAAAGGGCATGTTGCAAGCACAAGTTAGCAATATAAGTTAATTTAGGTTTATTTACTTTACGTTGTCTAGGAATGACGACGTAACGGTACATTACAAACCTATTTTATACTGACTTAAATCAATCTTGGAGGAAATTGCTGAATAACCTAGGTTAGACTTGGTGCGGGAGGAACGGGTTCGATTCCTGGCACTTCCCCATGACCTACCGAGTAGGTTACCTACCCAAGTATTTCAGGGTTCCCACAACAAAATCTTAAGTGAATTCCCTAAACTTTTTCTTTTACTTAATTTCACTGACAATGGCATATTATTTAAGGTAGTGTGAGTTACCTAAATCCATTCCTAAAAAGGTTATGTTTGGCTACTCCCACCTTACATACACCCACAACTTACATGCTACGTAATTTTGGATGAATCATAAACAAACCACATTAACTTCTGAGAGAAAGAAAACTTATTGCATCTAGGTTATAATACCAAAACTGTGACAGCAACTAACCTGACCAAAGTGACTAGCGTTTGAAACCTTTATCTTCGTTTTCTTGCGGTATTTGTTTGTTTTGAATTCTATCAACGATCGCCGGAACAACAAAAACAAAGAAGACAAGCTCAACCTTGACAGTCTTGACAACCAACAGCTGACACTCACTCAGCAGCAGGAGCAGACACACACAGCTGTTGTTGAACTGTTCGTTAGTTCTGCCAGTTGCCGCTGCTGCCGCTGTTGACATTCAGTGCATCCACTCTAGAAACTTTAAAAATCCCATCGGCGCATACGTATACACGTTAATTCATTGTATAAGCTGACACCTTTGACTGAATATAATAATAATACATCAAAATTTTTTTATATTTCACAAATTTTTTTTATTTATTTATTCCTGCCAATGTGTGATATCATAGTGAATTGCATTTCTCTGCTTATTTGAACTTGGCATTTACTGTTCTACTTCCTCAAAATAACTGCATACAAAAAATTTGATTATGTTTTTCTAGACAGGTTTGTGTTTCACTTGTTTCTCTAGCCAGAGCATAGATGTTTTGTCTATGCCAGAGGTGTCCAGCCAAAGGGGTAATTATGTCGACCTCCAGTCAACGCTCTAAAAAATTTTTTTTTTAATATGTTCGTTTTTTAGTGCTGATTCCAAAAATGATATTAATTTTTTGCGGAAAAGTCCCGTTTTCCCGGAAAAATGAGAAAAACGGGAAAAATCTTTTTTTGCCCAAAACCCATGTTGTGGGTACTTAAATTGTGCGGAAATTCCTCCTGAAAAAGAATATGTAATTTTTATTACGATCGGACCACTATTATGTATATCACCGGAAAAGCGGCCGCTAAGTACTTATGTACTGCCGCATGGCGCTAGCATTGCGGTGACTCTAAACCATTGTAGAATGCGGGCTTTATTTTGGGTTAGGATTGGTTAGGTTAGGTTAGGTTATGTTATGTTAGGTTAGTTTAGGTTAGGTTAAGTTTGGTTAGGTTAGGTTAAGATAGTTAAGGTTAGGTTAAGTTTGGTTAGGTTAGGTTAGTTTATCAGTAACATGAGTTTTGTAAGTAAATTAACCTAAAATTGTGGAATGCGGGCTTTATATAAGGTTAGGTTTGGTAAGGTTAGGTTAGTTTAGGTTAGGTTGAGTTTGGTTAGGTTAGTTTAGGTTAGGTTTAGTTTGGTTAGGTTAGGTTAGGTTCGTATACTTACTATACTCATGTTATTGATAAACTAACCTAACCTAACCAATCTTATCATAACCTAACATAACCAAACTTAACCTAACCTAACTTAACTTAACCTAAACTAACATAACATAACCTAAACTAACCTAACCTAACCTAACATAACCTAAACTAACCTAACCTAACGAATTCTAACCTAAAATAAAGCCCACATTCCACAATTTAAGATTCGTTTACTTACAATACTCATGTTATTGATAAACTAACCTAATCTAACCTAACCAAACTAACCTAACCAAACTTAATCTAACCTAACCTAGCCTAACCAAACTTAACCTAACCTAAACTAACCTAACCTAACCTAACCTAACCTAACCAATCTTAACCCAAAATAAAGCCCGCATTCTACAATGACTTAGAGTCACCCGCAATTTTAGAGCGTTGACTGGAGGTCGACATAATTACCGAGAAAGGAACTGTGGCGCACTTGTGCAACTAGGAATTTGGAGGGTAGGCCTATTTCATTTTACATTTTGAAATTGAAAATGTATAAGTTTTTTTTATAAGTAGCCCTAACAAGTTTGTTACATTCATACACAATATGATATTATTCACATAATTTTGCGAGCAGTGACATAGGTAGGATTTCAAAATACTGTAGGGGGAGTCGACCGGGGGGTCTGGAATACCCCCCAGGTAAAAGGGGGGGGTCCGGAAAACAATTTTAAAATATAGGCCCTAAAACGGTCTATTCAGCTCTCTTGGCATTTATTTATTTATTCCTACGACAAATTACATTAAACAATACATAGCAAAACAAGATGGTTTGCAAAAATAAATACCTTAAGAATTGCAATTCACATGGCACAAATATACAGGGTGGTAAAAAAGTCCCAGGACAGTTAAATATAAAAAAATAATAATGCAGATAGAGCTACAATACTTGGTACAAAGTTACAGGGCATAAAACTCTATTTTAACACATATTCAGTGATCCAATAAATCTTCACGGGGGCGGCCCACAAGGAGTCGGAAGGAAATCGTAAAAGGAAGCATAGGTCAATATGCACATCGACTTAAAGATCTTTTTTATTAGAATACAATAATACAATGCCGCAAATCACACTTCAAAAGGTTGATCCTGCGCAAAACGGCAGATGTTCAAAGATTTCTTGAATCCGCCATTTTGAATCTTTGAACGACTGCCATTTTTTACTCAGGCATTCTTTTGAGCTTGAATTTACGGCATCGTAATCTACTAGTGAAGACCTTTAATTTGATGTGCATATTGACCTATGCTTACGTTAACAATTTTCTTCCGATTCCTAGGGCTGTGCCCCCGGGCTGAGGAGTAAGCATACTAGGTGGCGTTCGCAGATGCATCCACAAAATTGAGCGGAGTCATCAAGGGTTCATATTTATATTGTTTTTGTCATACTGCAGTAAAAACAGTCGTCATTGATGCATGCGTTGCGGGTCTAAAGTAGCATTTTTACTATTTAGGGAATAAAATTCGTTTTTAGCCTCTATGGAGTAAAACTCAGCTGTTGTCAACTCAGTTGTAAATTAAACGATTGAATACGTATCCAGGGCCGTCCCTAGGGTTTGCGGCGCCCGGGACAAATGTGGTCGTGGTGCCCCCCCCCGCCCCCCCCCCAGTAATAGTCGCATTCGCATATTTTAATACTATGTTAATACGGGATGGACAGGATTGAATTTATAGTTCGGGGCGGGATTTTTTCCTGTGCATAAACGACAGTCTTGAGTATTGCAGTTACCAAAAAAGACAAACAAAATTAATTTTTACCATTTGTGGCACTGATCTATCAAAACCAAAAAAGGGTAACAATTTACAGATAGGCCTATAGAAAATTGTGACTCGCGGTCGAAATGTCTCGCGGTCACAGCGTGATCGTCGGTATGACTCGCGGTCACGGCGTTATCGTCGGTATGACTCGCGGTCACGGCGTTATCGTCGGTATGACTCGCGGTCACGGCGGAATCGTCGGTATGACTCGCGGTCACGGCGGAATCGTCGGTATGACTCGCGGTCAAGGCGGAATCGTCGGTATGACTCGCGGTCACGGCGGAATCGTCGGTATGACTCGCGGTCACGGCGGAATCGTCGGTATGACTCGCGGTCATGGCGGAATCGTTGGTATATACGACTCGCGGTCACGGTGAAATCGTCGGTATGACTCGCGGTCACGGTGAAATCGTTGGTATGACTCGCGGTCACGGCGCCATCGTCCAAATGACTTGCGGTCACGGTGCGATCGTCAAAATGACTTCGGCTCCTGCGTTCGTGGAATTACCGTGAACATCTCTCGCGATAGCAGCGTCATTTTCACTCGCGAAGCGTCAAAATTGCCGATGATGGGATCAAATCCCGTCCCGAAAAATTCCAGAATCAAATTAAATCCCGTCTCGAAAATCGGGAATATTTTTTCCCCGAAATTTCGGGACCCGTGCGTTGATACCAGTAGCCGCCGCGCGGCGCCCCCTTAGCCGCAGCGACCCCCCCAGCCGCGGCGCCCGGGGCAGCTTGCCCCGGTTGCCCCCCCCTTCGGACGGCCCTGTACGTATCGAAATATGTAACGACTCGTGCTTCATAATCATTTTAACCTACAGTCTACAGTCTCTTCCCATAGCATTTTAGCATTGCAGATACATTAATCCATTCCCACACTCAACACTGCTCACCTTACTACTTCCTTCACCACCCCCTATGTCGTGGACCTGTTTCCCTCTCTTCCCATAGCATTTTAGGATTGCAGATACATTAATGTAATTGCCAAAGACAGTTCCCACACTCTGCACTGCAAGCCTTACTACTTCCTTCACCATTTCCTACGTCATAGACCTGTTTCCTTCCCTTCACATAGCATTGAAGTATTAGATACATTTATCTAACTGCCCAAACGGTTCCCTCACTCTGCACTGCCAGCCTTTACTACTTCCTTTACCACTTCCTACGTAGTGGGGCCTGTTTCCTTCCCTTCTCATAGCATTTTAGGATTGAAGATACATTAATCTAACTGCCACAGACGGTTCTCACAATATGTTCATACTTTACTACTTCCTAAGCCACTTCCTACATCGTGGACCTGTTTTCATCACTTTCCATAGCATTTTAGTATTTTAGATACGTTAATCTAATTGCCAAAAACATTTCCCACACTCCGCACTGCTAGCCTTTACTACTTCTTTGACCATTTTCTATGTCGTGGGCATGCTACCATCCCTTCTCATAGCATTTCAGCATTGCAGATACATTAATCTAACTGCTACAAACGGTTTCCAGTTCCCAAACTCCACACTGCTCACCTTACTACTTCCATCACCTCTTCTTACATCGCAGACCTGTTTCCCTCTCTTCCCACAGAATTTTAAGATTGTTGATACCAAGATACCTTAATCTAATCGTCATAAACAGTTCCCACACTCAGAAAAACTCGCCTTTACTACTTCCTTCATCTTTTCCTACGTCATGGACCTGTTTACCTCCCTTCCCTTAGCATTGGATTGCAAATACCTTAAACTATTGCTCATAAACAGATCCCACACTCCGGACAACTCACCTTTACTTTTTCCTTTACCACTTCCTACGTCACGGACCTGTTTCCCTCCCTTTCCATAGCATTTTAGGATTTTAGATACCTTAATCTATAAGTCATAAACAGTTTCCACACTCCGGACAGCTTGCCTTGACTATTTCCTTCACCACTTCCTACTTCGCAGACCTGTTTTCCTCCCTTCCCATAGCATTTTAGGATTGCAAATACCTTAATCTAGTAGTCATAAACAGATCCCATACCCCAAACAGCTCGCCTTTACTACTTCCTTCACCACTTCCTACGTCGCGGACCTGTTTCCTTCCCTTCCAATAGCATGCAAGGATTTCTGATACATTAATCTTATTGTCATGAACAGTTCCCACACTC